GCTGAGATCTGTGGTGATTTTTAGCAGGAGGCTGAGTTGGGATTCAGAGTGGGGAAAAGGGGTAGCAAGTTCCTCCTAACTATTCTCTCTTCTCCTGGTCCACCAGTCACCCACTTGCCCTGAATACTGATTCAACTCATACAGGAAATGATCATCTGGACAGAATGTCTCCTGTTCCTAGGCCCTGTCAGATATAGCTGCTACAGGGTGACAAACTGAAACTCTACCACAGGAGAGCCCTTGCAGACCAGAAAAAAGTAGGAAAGTTAATTAAGCTGGGTGTTCTGGAAAGTGAGGTTCAAACAAGGTCTGTAGAAAAGGGCAAACTTAACATTTTCCTTTTCAAGGGAATAAAAATGCAAATATCATAGGAACAGACAAATTACATTTCAAAGTAGGACCTTTGATCCATACATCATAAAATCATTCATCTGCCATGATCAGGAAATGGGGTATTCTGGTTAATCAAATATTTTCACTGATAAAGTTATTAAACATTCACACCATTTATAGATAGCCAATTTTCTTCTAAAACCTGGTTGATACATCCCAGTGATTCTCCTCTCCACTCCCAGAACACACCTTTGTAACATAAAGTACAGCTAAGCAAAAGAAATCAACCCATCATCCATGCTTGAAAATGTATTACACACTCTCTACCTCTGATCCACCCCGTCTCTGCCAAGAGTCTGAAGGAAGACTTTCCTTTCTGTATTCCAAAGTCTCAACAATGACTAGTTTTGAAATAATCACACAGATATAAATGGAGCTGTGATCTCATTGATGCAGGATATAAATGACAGTCTTTGAAGAACTGGAAATATAATACAGGTACCACCAAAACTTGTGGCACATGGAAGGTATCATAGGGTGGTTGGAAATAGATGGAAAATTAGAAACTTCCAATCTGATTCACTGCTCTTGCACTAACTCTCTGTATGAGCTTGTATACATCACTTCTCTCTGAAGCTCTGTTTCCTCATCTGAGAAAACAAGGGACTAAACTAGAGGATCTCTAAGAGCCCTTCTGAGTCTAACATTCTATGACTCTATGAAATGTTAATGTAGCTAACTTTGTCAATTCAGAAGCCACTTAAAAATTTTGCCATTTCTCAAATAAGGGTTACCATTATGACTATCACTTATCTTCTTACAGAGAAAGGCTTGGAAGTGGTGATTAATAGAAGTCTGGTTGAAATTTAATATATTTCTTAGGTTAGGAAAGGGAGAGTTCATTTTCTTAGAATAGTGCTTTGCAGAACCAAAGGGAGGTACATTGGATAATAAAGAACCCTGGACTGGGAGTCAGAAGACCCAGGTTCAAATGCTGGCTTTGCCATTTACTAACTGTGATCTTGAGCAGATCCTAGAGGGAATCCTTCAATCAGCCATGTTTCCAACCCATTGTTGTCATGCTGTTATTTCAGTCACGTCTGACTCTTCATGACCCCGTTTGGGGTTTTCTTGGCAAAGATTCTGGAGTGGTTTGTTATTTCCTTCTCAAGCTCATTTCACAGATGAGGAACCTGAGGTAAACAGGGTTAAGTGACTTGGCCAGGGTCACACAGCTAGTAAGTGTCTGAGGCTGGATTTGAACTCAGGAAGATGAGTCTTCCTGACTCTAGGCCCTGCACTCTACCTACAGCGCCACCAGCTGCCTTTTCCACGCTGCCTCCAACATGAGAAGATAAGGAGATATCACAGTCTGGCAGCTAGAATAGGTCCCTGGGAAGGGAACTATTTATTTTGGATATCTGGCTCCAGCACCATTCCTGCCTGCCTGCTTGGCCTTCTTAAGTCACTTGTCTTTCGGAGCCTCTATGCACAACTGGACAAAAGGAGAAGAACTTGACTTACAGGGAATCTTATGAAGTTCCACGGTTATATCCAGGTCAGAGCCATGTTCCTGAGTATATCTGATCTCTAGGCTATGGGGATGATTCCACACGCTACTCTGGTGCCTTGGAGGAACACGGCTCTGATCCTGGGATCCTGAACTCTGTGCTTCTGAGGAAAAAGCTGCAGGTTGCTCTATATCTGGGAAGGCTTCAACTAACAACCACCAGGAGTATGGGATTATCTGAGGACCAGCCTAGCTAAGGAACCAACAAAGAGGTTCTTCACCATGTTGGCCACAAGGTAATGATTTATTTTTCTACAGCTCATAAGCCTTAGGCATGGAGGGGTTTTGGACTATATAGGTAAGAGGGATTAGCCACCGCAGGGAAATCACTTAAGTATTTATGAATGGGTAAAGGATGATAATTACTACTTAATGTGGGAAAAATGATACACAGAGGGGCAGCTAGGTGGCTCAGTGGACAGAGCTCTAGCCTTGGGGTCAGTAGGACCTGAGTTCAAATCTGGCCTCAGACACTTGACACTTACTAGCTGTGTGACCTTTGGCAAGTCACTTAACCCTGATTGCCTCACCAAAAAAAAAAAAAAAAATGATACACAGACCTAGAAATGGGCTGTGCAAATGTTGGATGATGAGAATGATAGCTACCATTTATGTAGCATCCACTATGTGCCTTTCATTGTGCTAAACACTTTCCAAATATCTCATTTGATCCTCAAAACAACTCTGAGAGCTAGGTAGTGTTATTATCCCCATTTTATGGTTCAAGAAACTGAGGCAAACAGTGGTTAAGTGACTTGTCCAGGATCAAACAGCTAGTGTCTGAAGCCAGATTTGAGGTCAGGTCTTCCTGACTTCAGGCCTAGTACTCTATCTATTGGGCCACTCTATCTAGCCATCCAAGATGAAAGCAGTGTTCCCTTCAACAACTTTTAGCTTGGTGTTTGTTTGTTTTACTGGACATATAATTTGATTGATGTAGGGAACTCCTAGTGAGTAACTTCCTTTATTACGAATTCTGCAATTTCATAATCTTAGAGGTGCCTGGAGCAAAGAGGTTAATCGACTTGCCCAGGGCACCCAGCCGTCCAAAATGGGAAACCCTTAGATATCAAAAAATGGCTTCAAAGTCCTCTAATGTAGTTGTCATTCAATCGCATTTGCTTATCAAGAAATGTTTGGACGAGCAGTGGCTGGCTACAGATTCTAGCCAATATGAACTGGAGGAAAGATACTTCATGGAGCAGCAGCATGGCTCAGGGGAAGCGCATTGGCTTTGGACTCAGTGGATGTGAGTTCACATCCTATATCTCTTATTACCTGTATGACCTTGGTTCAGTCACTTCATTTCTGGACCTCAGTTTCCTTACCTATAAAATAACTGAGCTCTTCCTAGTTCTAAACCTATTACCCTGTGATTTACTCCTTTGAAGCACAGCTCAGGGGCTACTTATTACACAAGACCTCTCCTGTTCCCACAAGCTATCTACACTATTCCCATCTCAAAATTTACTTAGGTATATGCCATATCCCCTCAATGGCATCTAGACTCTTTGAGGGCAGGAATTATTATTTTTTAAAATCTCCATTGCCTAGCACAGAGTAGGCACTTAGCAAATATTTGAACTTAATTTTTAGGCAGATAATTCACAACCTAGAGAGATGACCAACACATGAGGTTAGAGTAGAAGACCCCAGATCTGGTGAACAAAAACTGACATCTCTAGCAGTTCTTTTCATCGTGTTAAACTAATTCTCATCATCAGTGCTGCTGGAAGGAAGTGATCCAGAATGTCTAAAATAGAGAACCATCACCTAATCATTCCTAATGACTTTGGAACAGATCATGACTTTCTGGGCAGCAGATTCCTATTTTTAATTATGTTTCACTTAGATAGGAAAATGAATTGCATTTCAAATAATGTTCTGTTATATTCTGAGCACATATCCCGGACTGCCAGTGGAGTAAGAGAGAACAGAGCAGCCTGGTGTGGTAGGAATAGCCCTGAAATAGGAATCCAATTTGCCAATAAGTAGCTAAATCACTTCAGCTCCTTTGGGCCTCATAAAATCAGGTTCTTAGGTTAGATCACGGATTCTTAATTTGATCAAGGGTCTATGAACTTATATGTGTGTGTGTTTAATATTTTGATAACTGTTTCAATATAATTGGTTTCCTTTGTAATCCTATGTATTTTATTTTATACACTTAAATACATTCTGAGGAGTCCATAAGCTTCAGCAGATTGACTGCCAAAAGGGAGCTGAGCCACCTGGGCTCGACCATCTATAAGGTCCCTTCTAGTCCTAACGTTCCATGACTCTAAAACTTTCTGGCCAGGCCACCATTAGAGATCTGAGATCACTTACTTTGAATTAAGATATTTTTATCAAAGGCTCTTATATTTTTCCTTCTTCTCCACCACTAAAATACATAAAAAAGAATGCCCCTGGGCTGTGAGGACCACATTCTGGTGTATGTGTCCCAAGTGAGTTTCTTTCACCATAACTTGGGTTGTATTTAAAATGAGGGAGCCGATGGCGCTCCAACCACACCTCCACATCCCTCATTTCCTTCAAAACGAAGGCAACACCTTGGACACAAAGCCTTTCCTTGTCTCCCCCTGCCCATGCCGGCTGCCAGTGCCCTCCTGAAAAAGTATTAATTTATCTTCTATTTCTTTGTCACAGAGTTATTTGTGTTCAGTTGACTCCCTCTACAGAATGTAAGAAGCTCTTTGAGGGTAAGAGTTCTTTCAGTTTCAGTTCTATAGCCTCAGCACCTAGCTCACTATCTGGCACACAGTAGGCACCCAAGAAACACTTGATGATGGATTGCTTTGGCACACCCTTCCCCACCCCCACCCCCAATCTCTGGGAGTTGAAACCACAAGCAAATCCTTGTTTCCCTGAAGACCCAAAGATCTACTTCTGCCCTACCTCCTGAGGATGCCATATCCTCGTTCCTGCTGCATTTATTTCGTTCCTTCTCATTAAGGAAAGAAGGAAACCAGGCCAAAGTGGAAAGCATTTTCAAACTTTATTTACAACTGTCACAGTGACAAAAAGTAGTTTTGGAAAAAAAAAATGCTAGTTTCTCCCTGAGCCTCAAAAAAGAACAGACAAAAGTTACAGAAAGTTCATCAAACAACAGGCATTTTTTACTTAAGTTTTTTTTTGATACATTCAGTTAGAAATACACACAAATTCCTTCTAAAAGGGGGGAAAACAACAACAATAACAACAATAACATCAAACAAAAACCCACAACGACACAGAGGCCAGATAAAGAGCATAGTATCTTCCAAGGGTAGATGGGATCAACCCAGTGGGGCTGACCGTTCTGAAGATCCTGGCCTATGCTGGCTGTCGGCCCCTCACCTGCTCCAAATTCCAAATGGTGATAGAGAGTGGTCTCTAGACCAGAAAGATAATAACCCACCAGCCATAAACATAGATACACACAGAAAGTAGATTTGTTATGCAGTGTACAAAAGCACGTTTCATCACACATCAAGACTGGGACAGATGATAACAGGAAGCAGATGGGGGGGTGCTGGATACCCACCCCAAGACAAGGAGTTAGGTGAGTCCCCGACTCTCCCCTCCACAGGAATTGAATGATAATCAAAACTACAGCGGGGGATACATGACAGAGATGACTGGCTCTTTGCCACCAAACCACAACGAGAGAGAGAGAGAGAGAGAGAGAGAGAGAGAGAGAGAGAGAGAGAGAGAGAAAGAGAGAGGCAGAGGCAGACCTATCATGGGTCACCAGCAGAAACTGCAGGGGGGTCATCTCCCTGCCCCCCCCCACCTACTGGCCTGCTGCCACTGTATGGAGCTAAAAGTTATTGCCATCAATGTTTATAATACAAGCAAATGATATGAGAGGGAAGAAGAGGGGAAAGATACCCCTCAAACCTGGTCCTGCTGATACACAAAAGCAACACCCTTTCCCAGCCTTCCCCAGCGCCATACTACCCATGAGGTATTAAATACAAATATATTACACTAAGTCCAAGACTAGAGGCTGAAACAGGACTGATTGGAAACAGGGAGGCAATGGTCCAGTGCCTTGGGTTCCCTTGTTATACCCAAGGAAAGCTTCGAAGCCTGATTCCTTATCATCTGCTGCCTCTCTCTGCCTCTGTGGAAGCCACAGAGGATTGGGCAACAAGATGGAAATGTTTCTATAATTTGTTCTTCGGACCCTGGATTCCAAGGTGGAAAGCCTCACCATAGCCAGCTCATAAGTGAGCTACCAAAGTTCCTGTGGAAGCTGCCCTTCCAGACAAAGGGCCAGGGAGGGTGAGAGGAAGGAGGTGGGAGAGGCAAAATTAGGGGGATTGAGGGGGGAACTCAGGTCTGAATACAACATCCTTTCCCTCCTGGAGCCTCCTCAGGGCAGAGCAATCCAGGATAAGCCTCCTCCCCTCTCCACCACACCCACACACACACACACACACACACACAAAATACCTACCTCTCCAGAACTTGGAAAGCTGCAAGGTATCTCATGACACCCCTCTAATTTCCAAGTTGGTCACAGTGCTGCTGGCACTCGACCTACCACGTGTCACCCCACTCACTCCTCCTCCTCTCCTTCCCTCCTTGCCCCCTTCCCCAATCCATACTCCTTCCAAGTCCCAGGCTACACTGGCCCTCATTACCAGAAGAAAGACTCAGCTTCTACCTAAAAACAATACCAAGGAATAAAGGTTTCTCTTCCCCTCACTCCTCCACTTCTCATAAAAAGGAGGGAGAATACTTAAGGTGAAAAGTAGGCTGAAGGCCAACAGTAAGTAACCTAGCTAGTCAGACTGGCTAGAATCAAACAACTGGGAGGAGACAGAAGATTCAGCTCAGAGACTGGTACAAGGGCTTTGGAAGAAAGGGTTAATTAAAGGAAGAGAGCCTAGGCATTCCCAAACCTCCTGCTCAGACTTTGAGAATGGCAAGAGGAGAGAGCAGCACTGTCATGTGCCTTTCATCCTAAGAAGGGCGAGGGACCCGTCCTGTAGTTCTCTTATACTCCTCACCCCCCACAAAGGGACACGGGATGCCAGGGCACCAAGAACAAAAAGGGATGGAAACTTTGGGAAATGGACCCAGAAAATCTTGCCCTCCCCACTCACAAAACAAAAAACAGACAGCCACTGGGAAAGGTCCTCTGTCAGAGGAAGGTGAAGATTAGGGGTAGCAGTGGGGGAAAAAGGAGGAAGAAGGATGGTGATCAAGGGATTTGCCCACATGCTTGCCTCGAAGCTCTTTTTGCCCTGGACATTAGAAAGGTCCCAGTGTGGTCTGTTTCCCCTCCTCCCTTGTTAATTCACTCAAACACACTCTGAACAGAAACAAAAATGGGAAAAGAGAAAAACAGGAGAGAGATGATGACTCTATTTATGGATGTACTTTTGAGCCAGCACTAGTCCCCTCTGAATGCTTTCTGGCTGTAGGTCTTTGCTGAGTGTTTTCTTAAAATCTCTATTTTCTCTTATTTCTGTCATTTGCTTTCTTGCCTCAGAATGTTCCTCACTTGTTCTGCCTTTTACCAACCCCCCCTGGAATATCACAACTCCTCAAGACTACGAAGAGTTCAGATAGTGATCTCAAAGCAGCAGACACTTCCCCAACCCCAGCTAAGTGACTTCCTTTCTCAGAAGGCCTTGCTGATCTTTGCATTGAGGACTCAGCTGCTGGACACATTTCTTTCAGAAAAAAAAAAATATACATATCAAAAAAAAAAAAAGAAAGAAAACCAACCCAGTGATCTTGCAGGTGCAAAATTGAAGCTGTCATTGGACATTTTCAGAACTACTGTGGCTCACTCATTTTCCACCATGATGGGAAAAAAATACAGTTCAGATGTATTTTTTTTTTTGCCCCCTTTGGGTGCCCTTGATAGATTTACTGCTCCTTCTTCTCATTCTCTGTTTCTTTACTGGTTTCTTGCTCATCTTCTTGGACCAAGAACTCCTCTGGGGGCCATCTTAGCTCCCCACTTTCCACTTCTCCCTCTGTGGGCTCCACCACAATGGAAGGCAGGCGGTCCTTCAGTTTGCAGTAGCGATCAAAGTCTGACGGATCAGGAAAGATCTGAAACAAGAAAGGGTGAGAGGTAAGGGAAAACTGAATGTATTGGGGGCAATTATTGGGGTGCATTAAAGCATGATGGTCCTATCAGACAAGGATGAAGGAAGGTGCTTCCAATCCTATAAAATAACCATTTGGGAGGCACCACAGTATCTGCACAGAATATTCTCAAGTGCATTTTAAAAAATTAATTTATTTTTAGTTTTCAACATTCACTTCTATAAGCTTTTGAGTTTTAAATTTTCTCCCCCTTCTTTCCCACCTCCCTCCCTAAGATGGCCTACAATCCAATGTAGGCTCTACCTATACAGTCCTATTAAACATTTTCACATTAGTCATGTTTTAAAGAAGAATTAGAAGCAATATGAGGAACCATAAGAAGGAAGAAACAAAACAAAACAGAAGAAAAAAAAAAGAGCAAATAGTGTGCCTCTATCTGTAGTTCTTTCTCTGGATGTGGATAGCATTTTCCATCATGAGACCTTTGGAGATGTCTTAGATCCTTGCATTGCTGAGAAAAGCTGAGTCTATCAAAGTTAATCATCACATAATGTGGCTGTTACTGTGTACAATATTCTCCTGGTTCTGCTCACTTCACTCAGCATCAGTTCATACAAGTCTTTCCAGATTTTTCTGAAGTCCTCCTGCTCATCATTTCTTATAGCACAATAGTATTCCATTACATTCATATACCACAACTTGTTCAGCCATTCCCCAATTCATGGGCATCCCCTCAACTTCCAATTCTTTGCCACCACAGAAAGAGCCGCTATAAATATTTTTGTACATGTGGGTTCTTTTTCCTTTTTTTTATGATCTCTTTGGGATACAACCCTAGAAGTGCTGTTGCTGGGTCAAAGGGTATGCACATTTTTATAGCCCTTTGGGCACAGTTCCAAATTGCTACGTGCATTTTTTGATTAATGACTTCAAGGTCATACCCCTCCATAGGCCTTCCACCTTCATAATACAAACTATAGACCAGAAAATCAAAGCAGAATTATGAACGGCCAAGGATCTGGACTGGAGGGACAAGCAAAGGTGGGAATGAAATCCAAGTCTTCATTTCTACTTTTTGGTAGCCCTGAGGTTTAGTCACAGAACTGTCAGTGCGGCAGCTGTCAAAAGGTTTGGCTAAATAAGCTGTGGCCCAGGAATGTAATGAAATCTTACTGTGCTGTAAGAAATGGTGAATACGACGAAAACAGAAGCATGGAAGCAGAGCCAAGAAAATTGTATTCATGGTGACGATGCTACAATGTCAAGTGAAAAGAACTTGAACAAAACATTTGAAACTGAGTACTTTGAAATTATATTGGCTAAGCTTGACTCTGCGGCCTTCCCTCTTCTTTGCAGAGGTGGCAGCACTATAGCTGGGAAATACCACATATGGTAGCTGTATTTGCTTCGTTGACTTGTTTTAACTCAGCTTTTTTTTTTCTTTTTTATTCTTTGCTACAAGGGATGACTCTGTGGGAGGAGGGGAAAGAGATACATTGGGAAATGTAGTGATGTTAAAACAAAAAAAAAATCAATAAAATTTATTTTAAAAAAAGAAATGCCAGGAAAATAAAGGGGCTTGAGGTCTTCACGGGTAACCTCATTCCTCTCCAAACTCTTCCCAGACTCAAATCATTAAGTTTTTGAAACCTAGAAAAAGTATCTGTTGTTAGAGTCTCTTTATTCCAGAAAGAAGTTTAGGGTTATTAAAGGACTTTTGTAATTTTCCAAAAGTTTCCTTTTGAAATTCTGGGCTCAATTCATTATCTATCTGCCACATACCGATGAAAAAGCTCTACAGATTGTGGATCTGACTGCATGTCATAGTTTGGCCTATAAGCATTCTTCATCCACTTCATTTTTCCCATGTGAATGGTTAAACCAAACTCTCGTGAGCAGTCCTCGATCTCATCAAGGAGACTCTGCAACATTTGAAGACCTAATGCTTTGTTAACAAGAGACTCTGTAGGACCTCACCATCTTCAAACTTGTGCTACTCTTGGTTGTTGTGTTGTAAACAGTATCATATTACCTTTCCTTATTGCCCCATGGAGGAGAAATCTTTTCCACTTACAAATATGGTCAAAGTTTACTTTTACTGCTAATTAGCAATGGGACACAGCCCCAATCCCAGGCATCTGCTGCTGCAGGCAGGAGTCCAATCAAGCTATGAGCATTCCATTTTCTACAGAGGATTCTAAGAACTACCAACCTCAGGGAATCCTCTCCATGCCACTGGATGAATGATTAACTATTTATCCCATAAAGACCTATTGACGGGGATTAAATCCTAAGCCAGCTGCACAACAGGGCAACATTAAAGATTTAACAAGCCTCATAAAAAGGCAATGTAGTGGCATTCCAGAGGAAAAAAAAAACATCCAGAGAGAAGAAGCAAAGAATCTATATGTCAGATGATGTTCCCCAGAAAGTGGTTTCCTACTTTCTGAATTATTGAAATTGCTGAAATTATTTAGAACTCAGCAGTACTCAATAGGCAAAGTAGAAATCAGTGCACTGAGGGCAATGCAAGGAGGATTGTACCTTTTCTCCTTCTAGACCCCATTCATGCTGAAGTACAGCCTTCTCTGGGGTTGGGGTGGGGGGAAGAGTGACAGGGAAGGTAATAGGGCCCAGAGGTGAGAAAATAAGGAAGTGAAAGAAGGAGCCTGCCTAGGACAAAAAAAAGTTCTATTACTTGACCCTTTCATAAGCAAACCCATTTCACAGATGGCACAGAAGGAAGGAAACTATCCAGTTAGATCTTTAAACTGGCCCCAGCTAGTGATCTCATTGACCATCAGGAGACCTTAGTTAAGACTATTAAGACAAGCAGTTTCCACAGAAGTCCAAAAGCTGGGACAGCTGGAGACCTTCAAGCAATGAAAGCAATCACTCACATCTAGGAAGGGGTGGGCCTCAGTTGCAAATATCTTCTACCTAGACCTGTGTAAGCCAACATAGAATCTAGACCACAGCGCCCTATGTAGCAGAACGATCAAAGACTCAGGACTACAGATAAATTCCAGGACATATTCACTGTAAAAGAGGGAGAGGCTAGAGAGACTTTCCTTTCCTCCTGCTCACGTTCTAGGATACTATGAATTATATCTCCCCCACCCCCACTCTCCACGGTATGGAGTACAAAGGAAAAAGAGGGAGAGATAAAAGCTATCTAGTACATCTAATTTGGTTTCAAGCCTGTTCCAGCTAAAATCTGATAAAAGATGAAGAGAACCGAACAGATAATACAATGGACAGAGTCAGGAAACCTGGAGGCCGAACTCCTCCCTATAACCTCTGGTGGGATGATCTCGGCCAATCACTTTATTTCTCTATGCAAGATTCATCAGGGCCCTTTTCTTGTCTCTAGTCATGCTGAGCTAAGTTACACCAAGCCCAAGATTGGGTACTGAACACATAGAAGGACAGGGCATAATGGCAGAGGGAAATGCAAGCGGGACAGACCACTTCCCAAATGGCCCAATGTCACTTTCTCCTGGAAAAAAATGATGGCACGAACAAGTTGTTGGCAACTTCCCCAGGGCTGCTGTCACCTCCCCCTGCCTTTCCCCAACACTGAGGACAAGCTGTTGTCATAATGTGTATAAAGTACATTGTAAACCTTAAAATTGATTGTGAGCTTTTGGTAATAGATATATGTCAGAGTTGACTAAGTTCAGAAAAATAATGTCTAGCCATCTAATTAAAAGATAAAGCCTCCTATCATGCATTTCCATTAGTTTTTTTTTAATGAATTTATGTTCCATGGAGTGCTACATTTAATTCTAAGTTGGAAATGAGTTAAACATTCAAATAAAATGTCAGGTGGTAATTGTAATAGTAGTAGCAGTAGCAAAAAGAAAAGAGGGAAGAGGAGAAAAAGGATGTAAGCTCCCTGAGGGCAAGGACTATGTCACTTTTGTCTCTGTATCCCCATCTCCTGGTACAGTGCATGGGACATAGAAGGCACTTAATAAATGTCTGCTGGTTGACTAGATTAATGAGATCGGTGAGCAAAAACCTTTTAGTGACTTGAATGAAAGATGCCAAGTTTGATATAAACTTCAACACTTCCAAGGTCTGTGATTTTGTTGATGGGCATACATCTTGTACAGTCCCATCATGACTTGCTGTGGTAGCCAACCTTCTGGCTGGGGCTTGGAGGGCAGACACACATACAGGTCATTGCCAAGCCTGTGCTCAAAGCCCCAAGGCAGTATGCCTTGCCAGAGCTCTAATTATCCTGCAAGGACATGACCCTCAAGAGCCTAGTGCCATCCCTTCCAGGACTCGAGCGAGCCTCATAGGAAGACTTCCACGGAGCCCACAAAACTGACTCCTTACTGATGGCAGCTGAGCTGAGGCAACAGCTCATTTCCGATCTCCAAGCGAGAGGCAATGACACTAATATACTGTAATTAAAATAACTTAACAATAACATTTATCCCAGGAGTTGGGCCCTACTGCATGAGAAAGCTGTCCCCAAGGACTTAAAAGACTGTGCGCTGCTTCCTTGCCAGAGAACTTTGCTCCCTGGGCTGCTCAAAGGAGGCTCCGTTGTTTTGTTTTGTTTTGTTTTTTCTCTTTTCAAAAAAAGGTTCTAAAACCTGCTAATTCTGTGAGGAAAAAAAAAGACTGTGTAATAATTGAGCTGCTTCTTGGCCACAGTCTCCCAGAAGAGATCTTATCATCAGATTGTACCAATGTATTCCTCTGAAAAAAGGGGGCTCTACCCCAAAAAGAGGAGGGAGAAGGAACAACCCCCAAACGAAGGAACTCAACATTTCCTCCCAAACAAACAGAAATGCTCCCAACAAGCCACTGAGCTGTTGGCTGCCAGCACAATCTTATCTCTCACAGCTGCTGTGAGAGAGGCTGACCCCAAGGAGGTCGAGATTTTTCCACTAAGTCATGCTTTTTAATCATCAAGGCAGCAGAAAAATGAGAGGTTGCAACTGCATTTTTAAGGGGTGGGGAACAAATATACAAAAGGATTCAAG